AGCATGTTCGGAGCACTCTAGCTCCTCCCGTAGTCTTCCGATCAGTGTGCAAACAAGTGCCCGTCGATCGTCATTGCGTAACAAACAATCCTAACATTACACGAAATCTTTCCAAGAACGTTTCCGACGAAAGGTAGGGTAATAGTGTCCCAAAGGTAGGGTAAGTGTGTCCATGGTGACGCGAAACTGGTCTTCATGGTAGGGTAACGTGACTTACCTAGACAGGGTAAACTCACCCGGCCTTCCGACCTATCCTTAGGACGAAGCCAATGTGGTCACGTTACTTCCACTACTTAGGTACACCTATTTCTCAAGTACCTTCTGTTCTTCGGGATACCCTGACCATCAAGTATCTCCCGGACACACTCAGACATGCCCGCCTAGTCTACCATATAACCTCTAGGTCTTATGTATGGGCGTAGACTTAGGTTGCCATAGCTCTATAATGTAGGGTCGTTACAACCAGAAGACCACTAATATCTATGGGTTCTTCCATAGGTCAGTGCATATGGGTTAAGAGTCATTTGATTAGCTCTCCCAAGTGACTCAACAGTTAGTTACTAATGAGATCAATGTGCAAAAGTTTTTCCTTCGGTGGGTGTATTGATAAACATCTTACAGAAACCAATATGCATATAGGAGATTACTGCTAGAGTATGCTAATACTTTAGGCCCTTCAGGGATACAGTAATAGTGCTGGACAATCCTTACAGAGAAGAGCATACTCATGTTAGTTGGGGTAACCTGATAGAGAAGTTTTTAGTATAAGTTTGACTACTTAAAGATTATACAAGAACTCTTCTACCCTGACACAATCAACATTCTCTCAAGAGACTTTAATTGAGATAAGCTTGGGCTTAATGATATTAAGTTTTACTGTTTACTTTTATTCTTTACATTTTGCAAAAGCTGTATTTGAGAGATTTGAAGTTTGGTGTAGTTATATTCTTAGGATCTATCTTCCTAGGAGAGCCCACATTACAAATGAATTAAACTTTTTCTAGACAACTACAGTACACTACACCTAGTAAAAAATCCTAAGTTTCATGATTGGTTGAAACACATTAATGTTAAATAGTACTTTATTCATGACTGTGTTGGTAAAGAACTTGTCATATGATACTACCCTAGTATATATGATACCAACAAATGACATACTTGCTAATACACTTACAAAGATACTCCTAATGTCAACACATTTAAGACATATGTTTCTAATTGTTCTAAGTATCTAAGTGACTACCAATCACAATTGCTTGATTTCTAAGTAATAGGAGTTTTTTTGTTTGAGTAGAAGTTTAAGGATCGATTTCTCTCTTTTTTTATTTTTATTTTTATTGTTTGTTCTATACTGGTAATACTCTTTTCCTCCTCTCATGTCCTTTTTCCCTCAATGAGGGTTTTCCCTGCAGGAATAGTTTTTTAATGAGGTCACCATTGTATGTACTATTTCTCTTATGATTTTTCACCCCCTACTTTTTTATTATCTCTCTTATCTTCTACATTGACTTCTATATTCTGGTTCTTTGATTATATAGAAGAGTAGGAGTATTGCGATGTGTCCTGTTATCCAAAATGGTTAGAGTTCAATGGTTACAGCCCAGACTGAGAGGACACTAGAAAAACTCTTCACCCAAGTCTTTAGTATATAGGGTGACTGGTTTCTCCCCCTCCTGTATAAGTGATTAACTATTCTTTTCGCCCCTGAATCTGCGCCGTTGCTACAACCATGAGGAGGAAATTCAGAAGAATAGGAGGTACGGTAGCCCGGTTTCGCCTACCCCTGAGCCGAATTCTGAGTTTTTTGATATTGGAGAAAATTCTGCAGAGAGGATTTGAGAAAAATTCACCGCCGGAATGACCCGGTTGCGCGTCTGACCTGCTTCCCAATCAACGCGTTCACCTTTGATACTTTTATATCGTACTTATGGCATTGCGCCAGCAGGGTCTCCCTCAGACCCAAGCCTCGAGGTTAGACATTTGCTCACCAGAGCGTTTTACGGATATCATAGGAGCATTTTGCCTTCATGCCCTCCACCTGTCACTCCTTGGTTTCCCCGTCGCCGGAGGGGCCCGCTCTCAGGAAGCAATGGAGCATGATACCATAGCACTTACCTTATCACCAGGAAGGAATTCCGGGCGCAGATTTTTCTTCCCCCTTTCCTCTCCCCTGTTCCCCTCCCCTCTCCTTATTTCTGCCCTCACAGGACCACCAGATTCACTTTTCTAGGACTGTACGATACAGACCGCGAAATTTGGCTATGGATTTCACCCGGGACGGGCCGGCGGTATATCGCATGATAATATAATATATTCCGAGCAAACCATGTTCTCGGTGCGTAGCTACTCTAGCAATCTATAACCGTGAAGAGTATGGGCAATATAGTAGGCACCGTAATCCTTAATACGATATCATATACACTACTAACAATAGAACGCCATGACCAAGGAAAGTTGGGGAAAAAACTACAAAAAGTAGGAGGGAAAAGAGTGATAAGGGCAAAGAGAAAATAGCTCTAGAGGATACAAAAAGATAAATTAATCCCCAACGGACCATCTACCAAGACCAAACTTAAGTTGAGAAACAAAAAAAGGGTGGGGGCAGGCAAACATTGAAATGCACTAGAGGACAGTGCAGGCATAGGTATATGCATATACAGGGCATATTAGCCCCCGGATGTTAGATCATGATATAACGAGAATATGAATGAGATTTCTATTTCGGTTGAACCGCCTTCCCGCCCTCCACGAGAATTTGTTCATCAATCCTCTTATCCTTGTCAGGCCCTCTCTCGACTCTCTTCCAGGTAGTAATTCTATCCAATGGTTCGTTAATCTCGAACAACCGGACTCGTCTCTGATACTTATTGTAGCCGCCATAACCTCCGAATCCACTCCCCCCGGCATAGCACATCCACAGACTCTCTTTGCCGTCGTCGAGTAGACAGTACTCATTGGCATGGTCATGGCCTGCACTGACAACGCTAACTCCAGCATCTACTAATGCATTTTTGAAGCCGGAGTTATACTGTGGGGCAGTTGGCTCCTCGCGTGGTCCATTGTTATAACCACCCACGATGGGGCGGTCCTTGAGACGATATTCCGGAAGGGGAATGTGAATAAAGGCCATGTCGAGGTGGATGTAACTATAAGAGTTGTGGCCGTGCTTGTCTTTCAGTGTCGATGCAAGCTCTTTGAACCAGCTAATCTGAGAAGGCCTGACCCAATCATAACCCCGATACTTCTTTTCGTCAGGTGAGTAGGAGTGAGTGTCTAGGAAGTATATAGTGAGAGCAGAAGGACCACCCCTAGATTTGTTAGGTTGGATCTAGGATGATGAGGGAGGATGTATACTTGTGCGCTAGAACTTCAACGTGATAATTTCCTACCCCACCCTCGCTTCCTCCCCGGCCTTTCTTATCTAGCACTCGCTCACCAAGGGTAGGGCCAACCTCACTAAGAGAGTATGGCAAGCTCGCGGTAAGTTTCATGATATCCTCCCTACTGAGGTTTCCTTCATCGTCGTGATTGCCCAAGATGGTTGCATACGGAACTTTCCGTTTCACAAAAAGATCGGCGAACTTGAGAATTGCAGTCTGTGCATCCGGTGCAGTGTCTCCATTCACCTGATCACCGGAAAGGACAGCCAAGTCTGGTCTCTCTTCATCCAGAATTCTACCCACGAATTCAAGTGTTCGGGGATCTGCTTCACACCCATCAGCAGTTTCCACTGGTTCCGGGTCCCGACAAACTCCGACGCCGGTGGAAAGATGCAGATCTATTCTAGTCAGTATATAATGCCTGGTTACGTGTTTGTGGAGCCATACCCGAGATCTGGATGATCTTGAACTTTTGATCACTCCTAAACTTTAATACCGGTTTCTTAGGGTCGGCCGGGGGAGCACCCTCCCGAACCGAAATTCTGGGCGACTCTCCGACCGCCAAACTTCCTTCGCGCAACTCCCATCCAGGCCTAACCTCTGCAGCATCCGGTCCAAACAAAACGTCAATGCCCGTAACAGCACCATCAATCGCCCTAGGACTCCTCTTAATCCAAACACCACCCGGCCGAGGCTCCCACTTAGCATCTCCGCCACCGCCGCCCTCGCTCGCAGCTGGCTCTGATCTCCTAATCCTGATATCAACAACAACTTTTTCCCCATTCAACTCTTCCTCCTTCATCCGTTTGAATTGGATGTATCCCTGCGTGAACAACCCCTTGCCCAAAAATAAGTCTTTATCGATGCGAACCCATCCTTCGTTTATTGCACAGCCAAACAGACTGACGCGAGGGCATGATTGATATGTAATGTCCGTTATCACCTGTCCCGCGTGGTGTTCCTGCAGTAAGTTGTGGATTTGTGTAGGGAGAAGCGAGTAGCGGATGTCGAGAAAGAATAGGAATGTCACGAGGGCTACCGAGAGAATGATCAGTTGGATGATCGTTCGAACGATCCGACGAGCCATGTTTACAGTAACACAGGTGAGTGAAGAGAAGGAAAGGGGCGAGAGGGATGAAAGAGAGTGGAGGTTTGGCGTCCCCGTAGGTGGGCGTGAAGTCGAGATCGCGGCTTGGAATGGAATGGGGGTTGGGGCCGGATGGATGACTGAGACGTTCACTTAAGCTCTCCCAAGTGAAACCATGGGTTGGGGGTCGCATAAACCAACAATCAACAACCGAGGGGGCCGGCAACCGGGTGGAACCCTGTTTCTACGAGTGCCAGTGCTCGTTCTCCTATCATACCGTATGATACTATGCCACCACCGATACTTTACTAGTGCACCCGCTGCTTATGGGTATCACACTTGTGCTATAATACTTGTACCAGTATGCGGGGAAAGAGGCAGATAATGCGCTCTCGCAACTCCCGTTCTACTTCAATAATGCCGGTACCGAAAACTCGAGAGCTGATAGGCTCCAAAAGCAAAACTCCGCTATCTTAATCTGATCCGGAGCTGTTATAAGAAACGCCTTGCTCGTCGCTGACCTACCCGCCAAAATCAAAAGTCTGTCCCCGTACAAGTAGTGTCGGGAGGCTATAAGCAGACTAAGGGCAATCCCCACAAGCAAGGCGCGGTGAAGCGCTCCGGTTGTTTCTGCATAGGCAAAGCCTGGGGGCGGACTTTTCGTCTCTAGCGAGTAGAGCATAAATTGAGCTTACCGGTGCTAGCACTTGGTGCCCGAACCACTTTCATTCATTACTAAGCAATTGGAATCACCGAAGCCTCTCGGGTGTGGCCCGTGTGGGGAGGAGCAATGCCAAAATACTGGATGCCCATTCTATCCCCGCCACTTCAGACACTTTAATAATCCCGTGGGCTTCAAGACCATTCATACTCTTCCCCACAGAAATCACATCACCCGAATACGCACCGGTATTGCCCCCCCAACCCGCCACACAACAACACACAAAAGCAGCAGCGAACAACGAAGGTTATATCTCACGCGACGCCCAACCCGGACATCCGTAGATAAACCAAGAGAGCCTTAAGTCATCTCCTCCCTACTCATGACTTTCATTTCCAACCCGTTTACCCTGGAATCTATATCTCTGATAGCATCTAGGGCGTCCTCCCTCGCCCCCTTCTGCAGTTGGAGTGTACTTTTGAACTGGGTACGAACGAATTCTGGTAAAGGAGCCCTCCCGGGAGGAGATTTATCCTTCGGCTTGTAATTGTATACGACGATATCCTCCATGCACCGTGCTGCAGGGCGCTGATGTTTCTCCGAGAGTACTTCTCGATCATTAGCCCACCTACACCAACTCTACATGAGACGCAGGGGCGTACTAATAACCCCTAGAGTAAATGAGCTGTCGCCGACCTCGGAGAGTTTGTGATAGACTGTTACTTTGTCCGGCCATTCTACAGGCTATGCAACTATGAGCCCTTAACCGATCCAAACCAGAAGGGTAAACTTACAAATTTATAGTCGACTTGAATGCTCCTCAAAATCAAGCCCACCCCTTTGGAGGTCCAGAGTTCCGCCCATAAGTTCCGGTTCGCAGGATCAACATGTTTAGCAAGGTTCCACGCCCAGTTTATTCTTGCAGACTCTGCCCACCGAGCATATGTAACGCTGTTCACATGGCCTGCCAATGGTTAGTCCCTGGCCTAGTTGAGGAAAGTGCTGCATGCGTGGGTAGAAATACCCTAGCTCCATCAGCATAAGAAGACAACATCCCGGAAGGATCTAGATTACCATAGAATCCTAGAAGGAGAGTCAGATAATCGATCTTAGGATATCATCGGTGATATAAAGCATCATATACCATGTCGCCCCACACTACGTTATGCCGGAACAAGCCCCGGCGTTTTTCTCCCGTTAGGAACCCTTCCGATCCCGCGATGTACTCCCTCCAGTTCTTTGTAAGCAGACCCAGGATTTCACCAGCTTCACGAGATTCCTCGGGAGTAACTCCATGGAAGAAGAGTCTACCGATGCGGTCTTTTGTGTCTGAGAGCCAGCGCGGGTATTCTGGCGCCGGGATGGGGGGTTGGGTACAGTAGCGGGGAGTGGTCACAAATTTTCGAATAGCCGCTGGCCTCGAAGCTAGTTGAACAAGAGATAACGGGTTCGAGAGCGTTTGTTTGATCGGCATATCGACGGGATGTGAGTTGATAATGCTGGGTGATTACCCCGGAGGGAGTAGATTTTGATAAATCCTGACCACTTAACTCAGTATCAATACCCCGCGGGGATGGTCTGGAAAGTGATTTTTGGGGCTGATTATGTATACGTGGTATGTATGATAATTATGATACTGGTACGATAAGATCCCCCCAAGCCGAACCCCAGTCCGACATCGATAGGGGAATCCGTACCTCTATACCGTGGAACCTTAAATAATTGAACGGTATGCGAGATAGTCCAAAATTTCCCTCCCGCTAGAGATGGGCCGCCCGGCCTCTCCGAAAGACAGAAGAAACAGAATAATTGCTAAACCTCACCGTTGGAGGCAACTTGGGCGGCACGGCACGCGGCTCAACCACTCCAGATTCTACGGTATATCAAACCCCATCCGAACTATGATATGGTATGGTTCCATACCCGATGTTCATCAGCGCTCAAACCGGGCATTCAAGGCTGCTCCCCCGCTAGAAAAATGCCCCCGAGTGTCGTGATCTAGCCCCTCACTCACCCCCTCAACCGAGATTGTGTCTTCCGCACACAATCCTAGACTGTACATCGGCCTCACAATGTCCCTCCGCTATGAAGTCAAGAGAATATATAGAGATCTGGTCTGTATTCCTCCCGAAGATATTCCCTGTATTTGCGCTGACAGGTTCATAATGTAGCTCTATCTAGGACGGGAATACCCGCTTGGTTATGATTATTTTCGGCCCCGCTGTCACCAGGCCTTCATGAGCCAAGCAGGTGAGACGGACCCGGAAAAAGTTAGGGAAGGAATTCAGCAAGCCGAATATGTCAAAAAAGAAATCGAAGCCCTGTCAGTGCGCCGATAGCTTTGGGGTTGACAGGGTTCACTAATGATGCAATAGGTATCGCCTCAAAAAATATAGAGCTTTAAAACAAAGTTATGGGTAAAAATTGAATTCCGGTATTATACGGTACTTAAGTTCGGATAGACGTGTTTGACAGCTTCGAGACAGCCTAGGATGAGAGATTAGGCATTGGCATACTCGAGTAGTCTCTGGGCTGTGGATCAGACTTCAATAACGTGGCTCATATGTGAGGGATATGATGGGCAAGAAAGTTTAATGGAAGAGTATCCTATGTTTACGTCTCGGCAGGATACTACGATACAATCCTAGTCGCAGTTCAATGCTCGAGTACAGTGCAAGTACTTGCACCACTACCCGTGCCTTCTGGTTATCATACCAGCACCAATCACAGAATACGCCGATGATCCCCTGTAGGGCTTATCCTCTACCCCCTTGTGAAGAGTGATGCCGGTATTGAGTATCGGAGAAGCCGTGATCGATGTGCTATATCTGAAGAACGAAAATATTCGCCTCTCTCCAGAGCGATGAAAAGTGAATGCGTCCAGTTGAGGGTTTCCTTAGGGGGGGTCAACTCTATCCCTGAATTTACACACATTGATCATAATATTGTGGTAGGGGTTAATATGAAGTCTCTATTGGGCATTGGGTATGTAAACTTCAGGGGCATGGTCCAATTGAAATCTCTGCCCTTATTGTTAGGAACGGGGATTATATTCGGTCATAGATCGTGATTCTGTAGGTCCCACCTATAGAATCACCGGATGTGCCCGGTGCTTTAATTACACAGGAATAAAATCGAGCCGTGTAGTGTTTGCAGGACCCGCCAGCCTGGTAAAGTGGTGCAAACCGGAACCTATGTACAAGTAGCGTACTGTACGGTACCTAGCGGTTACCACCGCCTCGATTCCCCTCGACAATTTCTCCGGTTGGAAAATCTAACTTCGCGCAATACTCCACCAGAATAATATTTCCTTAATTGTTTTTTTTTATACCGAACATGTCTCGGTCATCCCTAATGCTTGTCGGCATTCTAGAGGACAGTTCCCCCATTTAACAAGTGCTATATCTATCTAACCAAAGGAAAAGTTCTCGTAAGTGCATTCCCGCAAGCAGGCGATGAGTTGATGCGACAGATTTAGGCACGCGGTTGCCGGGCATATGAGGGAGGTTTGGGCAATCAATTAGGTGCAATAGAGGCCTAATTTCTAAATTAGCTTCGAGTGTTCCATAATATTGTGGCATCAGCGCGAGGGGGGTATGAGCACTGTACTCCAAGAGTTCTTGTTTCTCACTAAATCCTTCAATTATTTAACCCCGGGAGTTGTCTTTCTAGGTCATCCATACTGACCATACATGCTAGGATGGGTTCGCATATTATGGTTTCTGTTTGCACAATTGGGTCGAGAATTATTTTTTTTGCGTAGGCCCGCAGTATAGGCAAGTGGACACACTCGTTGAGATCGCAAGTCCGGTTTTTGTAGACAAATGGGGATTCTCTGCTAATCGCGGGGGTCTGGCTATCATAGTTTGGGCGACATCTGTGGGACCGTGCCAGTACGGTACAGTACTGTACGGGTGCAACGGTGGAGCCTGCAGTCAGCCAGCGAACTTGCGCTCTACCTAGAACAGCAACAATGACATTGTCAACTTCGACGCCTTTCGCCTCCCTATCTTTTCCATCTCCATCCAAACCCCATCCATCAACAACAGAGAGACTCGGTCGTTCACAATCACCTTCTACATCTCGCCAATAATCTATCATCGATAGACCCGTCATTTGCCGATATTCTACAACTTCACCGAACTTTTCACCAAACCTCACCCCCTTTCACTCCGCTGCCCTCGTGAGATCCACATTCGCCAATCCTCTCCTTCTCGAGTCCCGAAGTTCTCGACCCCACGGGAGGTACGTTCAAGTCTAGTGGTGAACGGCTGTTTTTTCTGTTGTTTTTTCGGTTCCGGTTTTTGGTATTGTTTGTTTGTTTGTTTTGGCCAGCAATCGCGAAGTTTTAATGCTTACAAGGCTCCCCCTCCTTTGGTCACAGATCATCGAGTTCTCCCCTCTCACCCCACCTTACAGACACATGTAAGAGCAATAAGGCCAGAGCCTATTCTTGAAGCCCTGTTAATTTCGATCGCCCGTTAGTTTCCACTCGTCTCCTCGGCTCTAGAGTTCCCAAACCCTATCGGCGCTGGTAGGCCTACCTCTAAGAGCGCAGATATTGCGTCTCTAATGCCAAAACGACGGATACGATTACCAGCCTTACCAAAACAGACCTGAACCTTGCAAACCACTCCCCAGATCCACCGTCGATAGTCCCCCTCACCTGTTATACGCCGACCGCTTTGGGAAGCCGATTTCTACCCGAATGGCAGAGGGCTATGGACAGTATCCTGCGGGTCAGCACCCATACAATCTCAATAGTCGATTCCGAAGAGGCTCCCCGCCCCAAACTCCATCCCCCTCCCGTTCACCGGCACCACAATCGCCTGGCGGTTATCTCTACCACTCAGGCCAACAACATCATACGATGCTTAATTCCCAAGTCCACCGAGGGTACATGTCTCAACAACCGCAAAATGTTAAATTCTTTCAACAACTAGGGCAACCTCAAGGACACCAGGTTGACCAAACTATGAACCATGTACAGAACAGTGCCGGGAACAACACAGTTGGAGGGCATTCACATTCTTACTCTTCCGGTGGATTAGGGAATCCCTCGTACGCTTCACCCCAGCACACCTCTAATGGCGTAACAGCAACACTGCAAAATGCCTCTCCGCATTGGCAAGAACAGCAAACCCTTATCGCTACATCTCGCAGTTCCAGTTCTCCTCATCACCACGCCCGGCAGGCTGCACTATCAAACAAAAACTCATCCCAAGCTCAGGTTACTGGGGGTATTAATCCAGGCGCATTTCAACCTCTCGGCGCTCAACACCGCAAGGACGGCCCCCCCGTGGAAGAGAAGGAGGTACGGAAGAATGATACAGGCGAACTGGAGAGGCAGGATTGGAAGTCCTTGGATCTAGGCGGTCAAGGGCTTCGGGCCTTATCTAAATCACTATTTCAGTACACCTTTCTAGACAAGTTATACATAAACCATAACAAACTTACCATGCTCCCCCCAGCTATAAGCCGATTAAAGCTATTGCAGCTGCTCGATGCCTCGGGGAATCAACTCGCTGAAGTACCACCCGAGTTGGGCATGTTAACGAATTTGAAAAACCTTTACCTGTTCGACAATCAGCTCGCTACTCTCCCAAATGAGCTTGGATCCCTGTACCACTTAGAGGTTCTCGGAGTAGAGGGGAATCCCCTCCAGTCTGACTTGAAAGAGGTCATGATCAAGGACGGTTCTAGGGGAGTCATCCTGAGCCTAAGGGAATCGATGCAAGGTAAGTTCCAGATCTAGATATTACGACAGGGTCTTCTAACCCCTCCTAGTCTCGTTGCCTCCCGCCGAGAGAGACTGGATAATACTCGATGATTCTTCCAGGAGTGGTGCCAAGTCCGAAGCGGATAAATTCCAGGTTTTGTGTTACAACATTCTCTGTGACAAATACGCGACTCAAAATATGTACGGGTATTCGCCTTCTTGGGCACTTTCATGGGATTACCGCAAGGACTTGATCCGTAGACAGTTGGTTGAATCCAAGGCGGATATTATCTGCTTGCAGGAAGTTGACATGGAAAATTTCAATGAGTATTTTATGCCTGAACTTGCTAGGGAAGAATATAAGGGTGCTTTCTATCCGAAGAGTCGAGCAAAGACTATGAACGAAACGGAAAAGAAGTCTGTAGATGGGTGTGCAACGTTTTTCAAGTCTACCAAGTCAGTACATCGATGATTCCCCACTTTTGCCTGGAGCATGAAACTGGGCGCAGGCTTCTAACAAGCCATTTTTAGGTTCTCGCTACTTGAAAAGCAAATTGTTGATTTCAGCTCTGCTGCTTTGAACCGTGAGGACATGAAAAAGACTGCGGATATCTACAATCGTGTTATGCCAAAGGACAATATTGCTGTTATAACTTTCTTGGAGAATAAGATCACAGGCTCACGGCTCATTGTTGCCAACGTTCATATCTACTGGGACCCTCAATACCGAGATGTTAAGCTTGTTCAAGTAGGAATACTAATGGAAGATATCACTAAATATGCGGATCAATGGGCGAAGAGCTTTCCCAACAGGGCGCGGTCGCCAGGCGATACGGGCCCCCTACAGCCGGCTCTCAACTATTCAAGCGGCTCTCAAATCCCCTTGATCATTTGTGGGGACTTCAATTCAATCGCGGATAGCGGGGTTTACGAATTGTTATCCCGTGGTTTAGTTGCGAATGACCATGACGATCTAGTTGGAAGAACATACGGTAACTTTACCAGGGATGGAATGTCGCATCCATTTCCTCTTAAGAGCGGTTATTCAAATATTGGAGAGCTCGATTTTACCAACTACACTCCTGGGTTCACGGGGGTTATCGACTATATTTGGTACACGACAAGCAACCTTAATGTTACGGGCCTAATGGGCAACGTTGATAAAGAATATCTGGCGCGAGTGCCTGGGTTTCCTAATATGCACTTCCCTAGCGAGTAAGTTTTCGATCTGCTCGTGACCCGCCGAAATCCCCCGATTCTAACCCACCTGATTAGTCATATTCTGTTACAAACCGAGTTTCAAGTTAAACCCCGGAAGGAGCCGATTGCCAAGCCACCACCTCCGGATTTCGGCAACAGCCTCCCACGCAAGCCATAAAGTTGGAGTAACGACGAGCGTTGCGATGAAGTAATGAGATGCGAAAAAGGGCAGGGAAATTATCTTTACAGACGTTAACTCTATAGCATCGCTAATCCGGGAGCGTTCCCTTTCTCCCCGGGTTTTGTTTTTCCTCTCACCCTTTCTGCTCTTTCGATTTTTGTAAACCTTGTTGTATGAGGAGCGAGATGCGCTTTTCCTGTTTCTGTTTTTATTTTTTCAATTGGGGTTCTTGAGGCTGGATGGGTTTTCTTGTTTCCTTGCTCAGTCAGTGGTTCCTTTACGTTATTCCTTCTTCGACACTCCATACTCCTGTGATCGTTCATCCGTTAGTTTCTGTTCAATTCTCGGCGTGTCATTTTTAACAGCCCTATTTCCTTCCTGCTTTTCATTGTAACAAGAACAGCCTCCTTCTAGCAAGGGGGCCTTTCTCTCTCAGCCCACGAATCTTTTTGTCTAGTACGGTGTCGTGTACTATCACATAGTTGATTGCTTTTTCTTTCTTTCACATCCCTGTCTGTCTGATTTTGTCGATCTGGAGCACTTTTCCCCCGCAAATCCGGGCGGCGTGAGGGAATGTATCGTTTTTATGCTTCTTGCTTCTATGATCACTTTCCTTATTCCCCTTTCGACGCCCTGACCTTCCAACGAGGGGATGTTGGATACCGCTCGTATATATCTGATTGATGTATTTCGGTTCTCTTATTACTTAGGGTGGGTCGGTACAGGATGGCGCTGTTGTGTATAAAAATGAATCTGGGGGGGGGGCAGGTTTTTGGCGGCTGCGTACAATATTTGAACGTGCGGGACAAGGTGAAGACTAATTCTTCCGTCCCTAGTTGTGCCAATGTCAGTGCGGGGTGGGCTTTCTTGATTCTGGTCTGGGATGTCGTGTGGGTACGTGATGTTCCCCGAGCGTGTGATAAACGGAGGACATGTACAGTTCATGTCCCCCAGGAGATAGTAGCAAAAACCGTCCTATACGATAAGCATGATTTGGTGACATTATGGGATTGCAATAGTGGGGGGGGGGTTGCTCGCAGCTCTTTCCATTTTTACGGTTTCCTCTTGCTTGGCCCTTTCTAGTGTGGATTTTATACCATAGTGATGCCCGTATTATATCTTGTTGCCGGTCTACAGTATAACTACGGCACCTCCTCTATGGGGTGCCACCAATAATACAACACTCGATCCCCCAAGTATAAAAAGTCACTGATAATCGAGTATGATACGGGTTATACTAAGCTGGGTATGATAGAAAAAATAGTACCTGTGTAAATAGTATTTTGGGCTAGCACAGGTATGATAACTCCAAGTTTGTGCCCAAGACGCGCTTAATTCAGCCCTATTACCTGCAGGGGGTGGGCTTGTATTCACTAATTCATTTAGGCTCCATTTGGCTCGAGCCATTCGTGAATTCAAAACACATTTTGAATCAACAGAGTGTTCGGCATGCCGTTCGGTTTCGTAAATTGAAAATGTGTTTAAGGAAATTCCAATTAAGGTTTTAGAAAGCTGTATTAAATATCTTACCAGATTCTGTGAATATATATTAACGGTTTATATAATCCCGAATAACATTATCAGTAATTAATACCATGTTACATACTAGGAAAAATAACAGTTTTAAAATGTGTCTTGCCTAGTGCCCAGATGGACTGTTTGGAAAACCATCAATTCAAAACACGTTTTGTAATTTTATCAAAATGTATTCTGTAAAACCTGTTTTGAATTCACGAACGGCTCGAGTCAAGCGGAACCTATTAGATACGCGAACTGCCTCCCGGAAGACGGTCCTTGTAAGTTGATACAAGCAAAGCCCTCTTGGGACCTCAATGGTCGGCGATTGTGCCTAATGGCGCTTCGCAATGAGTTCTCTTTCTTCCCCACCCGTGCTGCCCCCTGTCTTTCCAGGCTTGCCACGTTATTGGCGGGCGGGGTGCGGGGGGGAAAGACAATAAACCTCACAGTGGCTTGTGAGCCTTCAGTAGGTCATCTAAGGATCTGAAGAGCTTTCGGAAGCTTCATTCTCGTCTCCGTTTCCGGCCAACATGCCCTGCAGGGGAAGGCCGGGCTTAGTCTAGGCTTTCTAGTTCTATGCCCCCCGGACGCCTTTGTGTTTCCGATCTCCCCTGCTTCCCGTCCCTCCCTTCACAAATCCTGATTACCCCGCCTTTGCTCTCGCGGCAGTCGCTCCAAATGAGCAGAGTTGTGCTCCGGCAACGGCGGGGCTATCTCCGTGTATCAATCCCGGGATCTCACGTTCCAAGATGCGGCCGGGCTTTGGGACCCTGACTTACATCGGCGGAGACAGTCTTGCCAGAGCCATCGTCCTCGCTTTGCGAACGGTAAATGTTTACGGCGGAATATAGGAGGGAAAGGGGGCAGAGGTGAGGGACTGGAGGTGAATTACAGGTGATAGGCAAAGGGGGTAATGGTAGGTGAGCCTGGGTAGATAACCGCCTATAGTCCGAATCCTCCGAGTGAGCGCTGGTGGTTTTTGGCACACAGATATCCGACGCTCTCTCCTTAGCAGCGATTTCTCATTGCGTGTACTGAGCGCTGCTGCTATCAACATCCGCGTCATCTTTTATGTTTTACCCATTGTCATCCGACCCCTTTCCTTTCCGGGAAGCAAAGCCGCCGCCACCGGTTGAGGACAAAGATGATCAGCCATCTCCCGCCCCCCCCCTGGCCTGTGATGACATAGGTGTTGAATTTCCTAATTCGTTTCGTATGTATATTCTCCTTGATAATATCGTATATTTCTCTTCTTAGTATTATTTCTAGACTATGAACATTACTACAGCTGGAGTATGTATTATGTATATTTCATTTGATATTTCATGACACAATTAGGAGATTATGGCGTGCTTTCTTATCTGGTGTTCAGGTTTGTTTCTTACAGTTTATCTGCTCACACCACTTCAGATATACGCGTGTTTTATGGGATTTCCTTGGCAGTTCTTCAGGGTCAAACATGTTCGCACTTATGTTTTTACCTACTTATGTTACAGTCAAACACGTCGATACTTTGTTCTCCCTTATAATTTCTCTTAA